GATCCTGGTTTTTAATTGGCCAATTGACCTCGGAAAATCACGTGACCGGAAAATCGATCCTACGCCCTGGTGTTGTTGTACTGGTATGTTTAAAATTGGTTATTTTTTCGAAAATGGAGTTGGTATTGAAAAAGATTTACGTGAAGCATTCATCCATTATCAGAAGTCTACAGAGATGGGTGATAGTGCAGGTGTTTTTAAAGCTGTTTATTATTACGAAAATGGAATTGGAGTTGAAAAGATTAACGTGAAGCATTATCCATTATCAGAAATCTGCGGTGATGAAAATTCTGATGGAATGTTTAAGTTGATGTTTGCTACCACAATGGCATGGGAGTTGAAAAAGACGAACATTAGGCATTTGTTTATTATCAAAAATCTGATGAGATCAGAAATGCAAAAGGAACTTTTCAAGTTGGCAATTGCTTATAAACACGGAATTGGAACTGAAAAAGATAAACATAAAAGCATTTACTTATTTTCAAAATTTTTTTGAGATGCATAATAATTGAATATCTAGTCTTTAATAATATCGTTCACAAGAAATATCTCGATAAATATTAAAGATTTTATTTATGAAAATTTTAGAAATTATTTGTTCTTGCCATCGCAAAATTTGGATAGTTTGGAAACCTGAGTACTTTCGGAAAAATTTTATTTCGGAAAATTGAAAAAATTGTGGCTAAGAATTAAGGTGGTTAAAGCTTCGAGCCGTAAAGTATTACAATGTTTGTATATTGCATTATTTTCTTTATGTTAGCCTTGCCAAATTTACTTGAACATCAAATAAATACACTTGACCCTCGTCAATATCAACCTCGTTAATATCAACCTCTTATTAAGACAAAATAGACTCAGGGTATATTAAAACTATCCCGAAATTATCAACCCTCGCATATATCAACATAATTGCCCAATCCAAATGGGTTGAGATTAACGGCGGTCAAGTGTAGTTATTTAATATTGATTTACTTATCAATTTGTCTAAATATAAGCCATCGCTTAATAAAATTTGGTTTGAATTTTAGCTTGTAATATTAAATACTACCTGATTTGTTTAATAAACCAGAGTTTAAAACAACTTCTACTCTCGGTATAGGGACTTAATAAAATCATATTATTTTTTATATTCAGTAACTATTTAAAATTTCTAATGAAAAACCCGGAAAAATAAATTACATAAAAATTAAAGCCTGTATTTTTTCTGACGAGAATCTAAAAAAAAAAAAAAAGCAAAAAAAAAATTAGTTTGAAGTTCAAGAAGTCCTTTAAATAAAAAAATTGTTAAAACTGATGCTGAAATATACATGTGGCCGAAATTGTTTCGGCTTATGTGAAACTAATTTCGGCTTATGTTCGAACAAATTTCGGCTACATGTATATGCTGAAACCATTTTTATCATGTATTTTTTTTATTTTTAGGCAGCTAGGTTAGGATTTAAGTATACTGTAGGTGGAGTTTATATTTTTAAACCGAGATCACAAGTTTCGGCATCAGTGTAACAACAATCAATGATAAATACTCTGTATTTCCAACGTTTTATCTCTTGAATGTCGCATGGAATTTGATGGTTTAGGTCGTTGAGAGTGTTGTCCGAATATTTGATCAAATGGTCGAGCTTTATATGATGCCCTTGGATGAATTTTACTATTTTCTAATTCTTGAGTTATTAATTTAAGCTGCATATTAATGTTCCTACTTTCTTCTGCGTCATTAAATTGGTCTTCATTTTCTTTATTTTTATACCACTTGCCAAACTGTATAACGATTTCTTCAATGAGTGGTCTTTTTGTTGGATCAGCGTCCCAACATCTGTTCATTATGTTAGCAAAAATTGACGGAGTATCTTCAGTAATCTTGGGCCTTCTTCCATTAAGAATTTCTAATATTAAACTACCATCATGTGCTTTATTTGGAAATGGCTGATAACCAGTTGTAAACTCCCACATTAACATCCCAAAACTATAAATATCTGAAGCTGTAGTATGTTTAAAGTTTTCAAGAACTTCAGGAGCTATGTAAGGCAATACCCCATACGAATTATCATTTTCAAAACTGGAATCAATATCTTGGCATAATCCCAAGTCTCCAATTTTTATAGAACCTTTTAATCCATTTACACCCAATAAAATATTTCCAGAATGTAAATCCCTATGTACTAATCCATGTTTATGAATCCGTTCTAAACTTAAAAGTCCAAAGTCATTTGTTAGAAAAAGTTATTTATTATATTTAAAAAATAATGCACGGAATTTTTAGATAATAAACTGCACAATACCCTGATGCAATATGGTATAATTTTTCAATTCTATCTTGCCAAGTAATATTTTCAAAATTATTTAACAAATATTGATGCAAGCTTCCATCTTCAGCATACTCCATCACTATATAAAATTCTCCCGTATTTGGATTTTGTGTATATCCATAACATTGTAAAATTAATTCTTCAGACCTTATAAGCTCAAATGGCAGTACCTGTGTTGTAAATAATCATGATAATAATTAATAATAATAATTCATTTTTAACCGAATTATTGTGAAGCTAAGATTATTAAATGCATATTAGGGAATTTCCATACGTGAATGTCATAAATGTAGAATAAGAAAAAATGCAACAATTTTGTCATAAACAAAGTTAAATCACAGATCAATTACGGTATATTAAGATCCGTTAATATGATAAACTACCAAAATTAAAAAACATGATCATTGATTAAGTCGGATCTTACTGTTCAAGTAAGGCCAGAAGTTTAATTTTCAAAAAAAGGTTGTAACTATAGATTATAATTTTAAATACATACTTCTTTTATAAAATTGATAGTGAATTTTTTTGAATTCGGTATGTATTTTAAGGCTACTGTTTTTGTCTCTTCCGAATTTGATGTCCAAATGGCTTTAAATATCTTTCCAAATCCACCTTCTGCAACATTCTCGATATCTTTAAATTGATCATATAATATAGCCTTGATATTTGATTCTTTATTAATGTTTTTAGCTTCAATACATGATTCTTTAGATTCAATTAGCATTTTGTATGTCATTCCGCGATGCCATAATGTAAGACAGTCTAATTCTATCGCCAGGGACTTGTTAAGGTCATCAAGTGCTTCATTAAACCTTCCCAGCAGTCTATAAATATATCCACGGCTTCTTAAGGCGTTCGCATTGTCTGGTTCAATCTCAAGTGATTGATTAATATCTGCAAGTGCTTTATCGTATTTTCCTAATGACAAATAGGCTTCACCACGATTTCTTAATGCATAAGCATTAATTGTCTGCATTTTTAATAATCTGTCAAAGTCTAAAAGTGCATCGTCGTATTTATCCAATAACATATTAATTTCCCCACGATTTCCTAATGCATAAGTATCATTTGGTCGTATGTCTAATAATCGATCAAATTCCAAAAGTGCTTCATCATATTTGCCCAGTTTCATATAGATTTCTCCACGAATATATTTGAAAGTGTCAATCGGTTCTATTTCCAGCACTTTATTAAAATCAGAAAATGCATCTTCATCTTTATCCAATGCAATATAAAGTTCTCCACGAAGATATAATGCGTCAACGTAATTTGGTTCTATTTCGAGTACCATATTAAGATCAGAAAGTGCATCACTATATTTTTCCAAAAGACTATATGTTTCTGCACGACACATCAGTGCAGAAAGATTTTCTTGTTCGATTTCTAATGATTTATTTAAATCATTTAATGCGGTATCATATTTTTTTAAAAGTGTACATGTATATCCGCGATTTATCAATGCACGTACATTATTTGGCTCCAATTCCAATATTTGATTTAGATCTAAGAGAGCATTATCATATTTACCAGACATTCTATAAGCTATGGCTCGATCGTTTAATGCGGATTCATCTTCTGGATCTAATTTTAGTAATTTGTTACAATCTGAAAGTGCTTCATCATACTTTTTCAATGTCAAATAAGCACCTATACGGCTTTCTAATGCATAATCAGCATCTGGGTCTATATCTAATGATTTATTGAAATCCGACAGTGCTTGATTATATTTTCCTAGCATTGCATAAACATCACCACGACAACTTAGTACATAGGCATCATTTGGTTCTATATCTAAAGATTTGTTAAAATCAGATAATGCTTCATTATATCTTCCTAATTCGTTATAAGTTTCTCCACGATTAGATAATGCAAATCCACTATTTGGATTTATTTCTAGTGATCTATTAAGATCAGAAAGTGCTTCATCATATTTTTCCAACATTCTATAAACTTCTCCACGATTACACAATGCAGCAGCGTTATTTGGTTCTATTATTAATGACTTATTTAAATCGAAAAGTGCTTCATTAGGCCTTTCTAATGATCTATATATATCACCGCGAAGTATTAATGCACTCGTGTTGTTAGGTTCTAGCTTAAGTGATCTATTAACATCCAAAAGTGCATCATCATATTTGTTCAATGAACAATAAATTTCTCCACGGTTTCTTAATGCAGATGCATTGTCTGGTTCTATTTCCAAAAGTTGATTAAGATTCAGAAGTTCTTCATGATAGTCTAATGTAAAAGAATCATCTAATTCCATCCCTTTTTTAAATTGCAAATTTTTACTACAATGTACGTACGCACGTACGTACGTACGTACGTACGGTTCAAATAAATGAAAAAGTAACACAAAACGTTCTGTTTCACGTTGTACCTTTGTAATATATTATTTATTTATTTATTATTTCTTTTTTTTACTATATTAATCGGCAGCGCTGTTGTATCACGTAAAGATAACGATAAATCTTAATTCCAAACCACTTTTCAACTCTATTTATAATTATAAACTTTTAGAATGCAAACATCAGAGAATGAGAAAAAGAATCTTGAAAATACAAGTAACTTAACAGATGACCACATATCATCTGGCCTTTTACTTATTGATGCTATTGGAAATGCAGTGGAATCGTTTTTCCCTTTATTAAAAACGGCAGCAACAGTGATTTCAGAAATTTATAAGGCTTATGATAATGCAAAATATAATTTGAACATATGCAATTCATTAATGGATCGTATTAACATAGCAGAAGCTGTTGTAAAAACTTTGGAAAGAAGAAAAGATATGGATGAAAATAATTTTCAAGAGCCTGAATATTATAAAGCTTTTTTGCGTTTCATAGAAATCTTGAATAAGATCAAAGTACTTATTAACGAAGTGTCTTCACTTCAAGGGTACAAAAAATTTCTTAATTCAACGATTATCAAAAGTAGATTTATTGATATTACAAATGATTTTGAAGCTTCGATGCAAGAATTACATTTTACTTTATATGTTTCAAATGAAGAACAAAGAAGTATTGACCAAAAAAATCTTGAGGGCGATATTAAGGATATGTCAAAGGTTAGTATCATGTTTATCATAACTGTGTATCGAAGTACATATGTATATTTATTTTTATTTTTTATTTTTTATTTTTTATTTTTTATTTTTTATTTTTTATTTTTTATTTTTTATTTTTTATTTTTTAT